AGTCGCCAAGATTTAGCACAAACTCCACATCTGGCAGCGGTGTCTGTTGTGCACATCACGCAAGGATGACTTGACTTGACTTGACTTGACTCCATAAATCAGGCACAATCATTCATGGTGAAGCACGTTCGTGGGCGCAAGTCGCAGTGAGATGTGGTGTGACTGACCTTTGATGCCAGTGACAGCAGCATGTCGTCCATCATGCTTTTGAAACCTTGCATGGGGCCATGTCCTTGCCCAAAGATGCGCCCGTTTCGAATGACGTAGTGCACATAACAAGACTCGTTGCGATCAAGCATCTTCATCCTAACCAGCAACAAGAAGCAAGTTTGAAGCCAGAGGCATAATGATTGGCGTTAGGATCACCAAATCGTACATTATCATGCAGCGCACAGACACACACACTCGCACAGACAGACAAACACACGCACACGCACACACAGAAACGCAATCAATGTCAGCACAAGCATGTTAATGTGCGCACGTTTCATCGATGAGCTCTTTGGAGATACCGCCAGCAAACGGCGCAAGATCAGCTTCAATCTGGTTGGCGGGATCCGACACATCACAGCCGTAGTTGTACTCAAAGTCATCCATGCTTGCATGCGGGCAATCGCAGGCCTACGTGGCAGGGCGTGTACATGTTTATGTGCGTGATCATGTGTGTGTGTGTGTGTGTGTTGTCAGCGGGAAGCGAGGACCAGTGGGTGTTTGTGTGGGTTGCGTGCCTGGAAATGAGTATGCGATGCGTACACACATGCACATACTTTCACACACGTGCCCACAAATGTATGCACTTTCATAGACACACACACACACACAGACACACACACAAACGTCCGCACTTTCACAAACACATGCACACACGCACACACTCCTTACTTCCATCGTCGTGCCAGACAAGGTGTACGGGCTGTCTGCCACAGGGTGACCCCGGTAAGAAACCTGTGACCAGAGAGAGCAAGTGGCATGATGTGTACGTTTTATGAGTCTTCGAGTGTGGTGTGGGTGTGCTTTACATAAATGACATTGGAGGGGCAAAGCTCAAACTGTCCATTCACTGTGCAAGGTGGCTTGTGCATGTCTTGCTTTGAGGTTGATTGCAAGCACCTTGATGATCAGCTTGTCTGGAATCTCGTTGAAGAAGAACAGGCACATGAACGAGCCATCGCCAAGATCAAACCACTGGCTCTTCAGCAAGGACCGTTTCCCACCGGGTCGAACAAAGATGACCTCGGCTGAAAACCCTGGTCCGGGGCTTGTCGTGAACTCTTGACCATTTTCATCCACTGCAGTCACATAGAAGACCCTGGTGAATAAGTGTGTGCAGTGTCCGTGAGCACCAACCATGCTTACGACAACAACGACAACAGAACACTGCAGCAGTTGCGTGCACAAACAACCTTATATAACACTGCCGTCATCCATCATGTTAGTCACAAACACTCCTGACAACACAGGTACACACACACACACACAATTACAAACTCCCCCCACCTGCAAAGTGGGGAAGGGTGTACATCGGGGGTGAGGTTAAGCGAGATGACCAATGTATACCAGACGGTTGTCATTGCAAGCCTTGCTTAAAACAAGCCAGCGCTGCTGGACGAAAAAGGGCACGCGGGAGAAAATCGACTGGCACACGCGCAGGCTGAGAAAGCAGAAAAAACTACACGGCTGGAACTGGACTCAATCGAGTATGTAGTCGTTGAAGAAAGGCCTGAAATAGACAGGTTGGACGATCCAACATACAACCAAGAGGAGGAGGGCAGCCGTCGCGGCCGGTGGTAGCTGGCGACAACATGCTCGTGTAGACCGGACTGTGGACAGGTGACGTCGTGGCGCGCGAATGCATTCTCATCATGACTTGCGTGAGAACGTGATGCATGCGTGACGAAGGTGTAGTATTGGGGGATGGCAATGTTGAGTAGACTGGATGCCCTGTCGTATGACGACGGTTAGACGAAGTTCACGAGCCCGTTCAGTGACTGCAGTGATGCAATAGCTTGAAGTCCAGAACGCATGGCGCAGGCAAGTCAGCTGCTAAGCTAGCCGCGAGATGACGTACCTGATAAAATGAAATAGTGAGCGGTAGAATTGTCTGCGCTGGGCGTCTTTTACTGCCCGTACGACTAATGGTAGAGACAATAGGTCTCGGAGCCGAACTGTGCACAGTCAAAGTGGCACGAATAGGTACGTTCGGATGCCTAGCCGGAATCAAGATAGGGAGCTTGCAAGTGG